ACACCGAGCACCTTTTCATATGCTTCCCTTGTTAGATATCTGCTCACATCTTTTCCCTTTCTTTATGTATTTGTTTTTAACAATTTTTACTATTGAGCAGTGAAAGTTTTAAATGTATATTTACGTAAATTCTAGACATGTATTTGTACCTGGCAAAAGACTGGAATTTGGGATATATATATATAAATTTATATATATTTTTTGTGAATAGGATTTTGAGAATTATTTGTTTCTTCAATAAACATGGGGTTATTCTATTCATCTGGTGTCAGGATTTGTAAATGTATTTTCTTCCGAGAATTTGTCAGGTTCAAACCGAGACCACTGAGTCGTCAAATGTTTGGGCAGGTAGTTCTCTAGAACGCTCCCTTATTAAAATGTTAACATCTGTAGGAATCTGCAGGTGTATGCCGTGTTTTGGTTTTGATGTTGATAATTTGTGTTCTTTCCTTCTTTTCTCGAGTGATCTGTCTAGCACCTATCAATTTTGTTGATCCCCTTAAAGAACTCACTTTTGGGCTTTCTTAAAAAAAATAATCGTCTGCTTTCCTTGCTTTATTTCATTGATTTGTGCTCTTGTAGTTAGCGTTTCCTCCCTTCTACTTACTCTGCTGTGTTATGTTTTCACGAAGAGTATCTTGGGTTGTTTGTTCAACCTTCAGCAAACTTGGCTAGATGCAAACCCCAGACTGTTTCCCCTAGGTGGGCAGGAATAGAATTCTTAGTTCAGTTGTTTGACCTTAACTGGGCTGCCTGGAGTCTGCTAATGCACGCACAAATCGGGGATTAGCCAGGATCTTGAATAGACTTTACATACAGAATTAGGACCATCCTCCCATGATGCTTCTGTCCCTTCTAGGAATTGCTCCTTCACTTTATGGCTACTGCGGGTCACCCCAGATTCTGCCGGCTTTTTGAGGCAATACAGTTGCAGGTTTTCAGAGTTTGAGGGGTCTTCCCTGGCTCCACCATAGTCTGCCTTCCGGATGAAACCGGTAAACAAAGGAAAACTCACTGGCGCTTTTTCCTTCTTCCAAGTGTAGAGTCAATTCCCTTCCAGTGTGGCCCCACTCTCGGCTGCTCTCCGGTGCCTTCAGGCTGTTGTTTCTTTGTATTTGGTCAAGAGTTTAAAGTTGTTATCTGCAGGGGGGGTTAATCCACGAGGAGCTAATCCTTCGTTATCACAAGCTGCAAGCACACAGTTTGTTCCTTTTTAATCTCACTCCTCTCCCTGTCTCTCTGATGGCTCTGTTTGTAAGAAGAGGTGGTTTGGCCAGATTTCTAGTGTCAGGAGGGGCACTGAAGTGCTTCTAGAACTCACAAACTGGATTACTTGGTCCCCGAATAACCAAGATTGCTATGTCAATATTTTTTTCAAAAGAACACCTATTTCCTTCCGCTATACGGGTGTCTGGCTAATTGAGGACTGGAGTAATTCTACACAAAATTGGAAAGTCCATTGAATTTGTCTTCTTGGAATTCATTCTTCAGCCCTTCTCCCAAGGGGTCATTACAGTCCCTTCTACCTGGCTAGATATGCTCCCTGGGCCTCTAGACTTTTCTTCATGGACAGCCCTCTAGGTGTCTGACTCTTTCTTCTCCCTTCTAGAACCTACCAAAAGCCTCTCTCCCCTCTTTACCCCTGGGGCCTGTTGTCTCTTTGCTCAGCTGGAGTTAGTAAAGGGAAAGAAACCTAGTTCTGTGACAGAAACAATGGGCTAATGTGCTCTCTTTCACGAGGAAAACAGATCGTTGAGACTGACCACCCTGAAGCCATAGAATAAATCGCAGAAGGTAAAGTAATCCAGCCTCTTCATTTTCACTAGTGAGAAAATGAATTTCCGGGGAAGATAAATGACTTGTTCGAGGTCACACACTAGCAGGATTGGAACTCGAATCTTATTTCTCGACTACCAGTTGGCACCAAGGAATGGCTGCGAGCATCGAGTCCGGTGGCCACAGAGGGTAGAAGGTGACAGAGTCTGTTTTGTGCACGGCTGGCTTCAGTCGTGGACAGTGACCGAGCAGGATTACCTGGTGGGTTAACAGTATCAACGCCGTGTGGTGTGAGTTGATGAAAAGAACCAAAGATATCTTAACCTGGAGGAAAGAAAACTGAGGGGGGACATCACAAAGGCCCCGAGTGGGGATTCAGGCATATTTGTGCAGCTCTGTACAACAGAACGTTGACAAATGGGTCCAAGATGGCGGCCAAATTCATCGTAAGACAAGGAAGGATTTTCTAACAATTAAGAGTGTCCACAAATGGAAGGGTTAGTGGCTGAATTCTCTTGGGGAGGTAGGCAGTAAATTCTGTACACTGGAGGCTTCCAGATAAGGCTCAGTTTGGGCTTTAGGGAAGAGGCTCCGTTGTTCCTTTACTTATGGGAGTTTAGAACAGATTCCCTCCTAGTCCTTTACAATTATTGGATTCTCTGGTGACAGGAGACCCTTTGGTGACCATCACAAGGCACAGATACCACCCACATCTAGAGGGGGAAAAGGCCGTCCGAATGCGCCAACACGGGCCCTCCCAGCCCCCACCCCATACGTATGTGGTCTGCATTTTAAGTTTATTTGTTTACTTTGAGAGAAAGAGTGAGAGTGGGGGAGTGGCAGAGAGAGAGGAGAGAGAGCTCCACACTGCCAGCGTAGAGCCTGAGGCCAGGCTTAAACTCACAAACTGGGAGATCGTGACCTGGGCCAAAATCAAGAGTCAGACGCTTCAACGACTAAGTCACCCAGGCACCCCTGTGGTTTGTATTTTTCTTTTTAAGGAATCAGACAACCACGGTGGAGTCTTCTAGTGGTTACGCAGCTCCGCTGAGACACGCACGGGAGGGCACTAGAGCAATTTTGATGGTCAAGGTGAAATGCCAATTTAGCGATTTCCCTGTCGGCATTGGCTGCATTTTACGAGAAAGCAGAATGGTCTTCTGTGCCCTTCTGTAGCTAGTCTGTGGACTGATTTGGCAACCACAATGAAGCAGATAAACACAGGGCCACATGCGTCACTCGTCCGTCTCACTCCATGAGTTATGGGGCGAAGTCGGGCCCCGGACTGAAAACACATTTTATCCATTATCTTGGAGCTTTACAAATGGTGAATATTTTAAAGTTTCTGCTATAACACAAATCACAACTCACATGCCAGTGCTGATGAAAGACAAGCATGGTTTTGTTTCGTTTTGAGGGAGAGAGAAAAAGAGAGAGCCAGCGGGGAAGGGCGCTGAGGGAGAGGGAGAGAGAGCATCTCAAGCAGGTACCACGCCCAGCCGGGAGCCCCCTGCGGGGCTCGAACTCACGATGCCGTGGCCTGAATTTGTGCCCCCTCAAAATTCACATGCTGAATTCTAACCTCCAAGGTGATATTGTTAGTGGGGTCTTTGAGAGGTGATTAGGTCATGAGCAGAGCCCCCCCCAAATGGGATTAGTGTTGTTATAAAAGAGACCCCACAGACCTCCCTTGCCCCTTTCATAGCGTGAGGATAAAATGAGAATTCTAGGATCTAGAAAAGGGTCCTCATCTGTCTCCCAGCCTCCAGAACTATGAGAAACAAACATGGTTTTTTTTTTTTGTTTGGTTTGTTTGTTTTTTTGGCTTATAAGTCACCCAATCTATAGTATTATTGCAGAGCCAGGATGGACTATGACAGTGGACTTCAAGACTAATCAACCTCCAACATTGCACCAGTGTTCTCCCAGGGACTTTCAAGAGGGGCTAAACTTTGCCAAGGATCATAGGTCCTGAAACCCTAATGCCTTGTTTTATTTGCATATTTCTGTGACATGAAACTTTGTGTTCCACGGCACGTTCAGGAGCTCCGGTTATAGAAGAGGTTAGTCCCTAACTTTGTGGTCCTAGTTCCTCTTCCCTCTGGTGGAGCAGTTCCTCTTGATAGACGCTGTCTTTGAGCATTATTTCTTCACTGAACGGATTCCTCGAAAGGCTAGTATTTTGTTTTGGTTTGGTTGGCTTTAGTTAAAGAGCGCTAAGTGTTTCCGAGGTAAATATTCCAAGTCTTTTGAGCACTTCCCTTTGAAAGGGAGCAAGCGTTAAGAGAAAGGAACCCGTGTACACCCTGGAAGACCGTGGCACAGCATGACAGCATGATTTGTTGGAAGCTAGTCTGTGGGGGAGGGATGGGAGTGACAGGAGAGGAAGACGAAGGAGGAGACCCAGGGGAGGCAAGAAAAAAGAGGACACACACACACACACACACACACAGATTGATTTAATGTCTCAAGGCTCTTTATTCATCCACCACTTTGTTCCCATGACATCACCAGTTCAGGCAAAGGGTGATGATGGTGAACGTGGAAATAGCCACAGCCTTCCCAGTTGCCCCCTGCCTCTCACGTCACCCCCTCAAGCCCAGTCTTCACGTGGCCTCTAGAATGATGCAAAGGGCTGGTGAAGTCCACCTTCCTGTCTCATTTCGTCCCTGCCACTGCCCCTTGGCCTTGAAGTGTCCAAAGGCCAAAGTCGATGGGGAGCATCAACAGTGTCCGGCTGCCCGGGAGTGAGAGGTTACGAGGTCTTTGCTTGCTCCTGAGCCTGAAGCCTGGGATCCCAGAGGGCTCCCTGACCTCCCACATCTTTTCCCAAGGGGCCTGGAGCCATGCTAGTGGTGAGAGAGGGCGAGACCCTCCCCTCTAAGAAAGGAAAGAGGAGAGGAAGTACCATTTGCGTTGTTTCCTCCTGTCTGTCCCAACGACCTTTAAGCAGATCTGTGTTCGGCGTCGCTCACGGATGAAACGTCACCCTGGGCCACACTTCATAACTTAAAAGGAAAGTATGTTCCCTCCTGGAAGGTGCTAGCTAAGCGCTCTACAGGGAACATTCAGAACATCGAGTTGTTGTCTATGGGTCTGTGGAGAGTGTATCGACATGGATTTTTCTGTGTTCGCTACACATAAGTATATGTTCTCGAAACGCTCCATAGGACTCTGGTCACCGCCCCCTCGACCCGGGTCCCTCCCGTCCCCTGCCTCGCCCCTTACATCACAGAACACTTCTGCTCTGCTGTCTGCTTCATTTCCGTGAAGGTGGCCTGGGCTTTCTCTTTTATGGTGTCCAAGTCCATGTTCTGGAGATTCTGGAGCTGCCCGAGAATAGAATCCTTGTCCTCTTCCTCCTCCTGGTCTTCGTCTACCATTTTCCGGAGATCTTCGGGCAAATCCACGTCATCTCCAGCCATCTGGATTTGGTTCTCATCCATTTCACTCTGTGCAAAAAACACAAACGCGGAGCTCGAGAAACCACGCGGAGGCAACTGAACCACCGAACGAACAGTAAAAGGAGCAGGAAGACCCTCCGCTGGGGATGAATGACGCGAATGGCACGCTCGGCTGTGTCTCCGCGGAGCCTGGGCTCGGTAGCAATCGTGGGGGCTGGGGGGGGGGCTGGTCGCCGCGCCC